ATTGGGGACGGGTGCGCGCCGCTTCCCAGATGTTGCGGTGAGATCGCACCCGTTTGCTGCGCCCCCGATCCGTCCCTCTCCCGGGCCAAAACCTTCCATGTGACCGGGGCCATGGTAGGGAATCCAGGAAACCAATGTGGATGAACAGAGAACTCCGTAACGTGCTAAGGGAGAAAAAGGAAATGCTCAAGAAATAGAGGCAAGGACATACCTCTAAAGAAGAGTATCTGCAGGTTGCTAGGCACTGTAGGTCAGAGGAGTCAGTTCTGGGCCCGGTACTTTTCAATATTTTTTTTATCAATGATCTGGCTGAGGGTGTGGAGGGGCTACTCATTGAATTTGCAGATGACACCAAATTGGGAAGAGCAGCAAACACACCAGAAGGTAGCGAGAGAATTCAATGAGATCAGAATGCACTGGAAAAGTGGGTGGATGTGAAGAAGGGTTCCCCAGGGCAAGAGAACAGTTATTAAACCGGTTTAAGTCTGGAATGCAGATATGATCAAACTGATGTAGGGAGATAAAGTCTGTCTAGGAGCCAGTTCAGGGGCAGTGCTGAGAGGCAGGAAGGAGGGAATCAGGCAGTAGGGTTGCCAGACCCCCAGGTGCTGATCAGCTGTGTTGTACACACATTTTATGAACCACTTTATACTCTGCCACTGACTAACAGGTTTGACTTGGTGGGTGCACTTAGCACTTCCATGGTGCATATGTTAAGTGCCTTTGATGATTCTAATCACAGTAACTGAAATCAATCATGAACATATATTCAGATATTCACTTTGGTTCATTGCTTAAATGCATTCTGGGCAAAATACTAAATGCTGACAGGCAATCATACTGCTTGTGACCTAACAACCCTAACTGACTCAGACGAGGCTTGATAAGGCGTAACGGCTCCGTGACCAGCGCTGCCCGCTCTGCGCCTCCTAAAGGTAACTGCTCCCTTTTTTCTATTACATATGCATAAACGAGGTCAAACATTCCCATGGCTCTCACCCTTACACGGCAACCCAACCACGCCCCCTTTTCCAGCCCCGAATTCACGCCAAATGGGCGCCTGATGTCAGGGCACGTGACCCCGCCTCCCATCTCCTGTGTTTCCAAACAGAGGGGGCGTGTGTGATTGGCTAGCATGACTGCCACGTGATTAACGGTTGTGGGAAAGCCACGGAGTCTGAACGGGCTAGTGTGCTGCATGGTGGCACTTCTGCAAGCAGCTAAGAACAGGAGCGCCTAACCGCATCAGGTCAGCCGTGGGAACGCTCTTGCGAGTGTTTTGCCGTTTACGTCAGTGTCACATGTATCCTGTCTGGAGAAGGACCACAGAGGTGGCGCAGTTCCACCTTCAGGAATCCCCATCATGAGCTCATTGAGCCGGCAGCAGCAACCACCCGCAGGAGCGCGGCGCCTCTCAGCCCAGCGGGCGGTAGCCCCAATCCGACAGAAGCTACTCTTCTTGGGCAGAGGGAGCGACTGCGAGGAAGATGAGGAGGAGGAGGAGGAGGAAGAAGAAGACGAAGAAGAGGAGGGAGAGGAGGAAGATGGTGGCAGCAGCGGCAACAGCCCCGGGGAGGACTTGGCCTTCCAGAAAAGTGCTTGAGTAAGTGGGGGCTGGGCAAATCATGAGGTGATTTATCTGGGACCATTTTAGTTTGCTTCCTGGCTTAATTTTGTAGGGCCTTATTGCCCTAATAAGTTACCTTTGCTGAGAAATGAATGCATCCCTATTATTCCCCTGTGCACGGTATCCTTTTGGATTGGTTGATTTAGATGAGGACTGGGGTACTGCATTGTAGTAGTTCTGCTGATTCCAGACAGCTCTGCTGGGGAACAAGTGTTCAACCCTCAGGCGTTTAAATTACTGGGGGAGTTAAATCCTGGGTGAATAAATATGTATAACTTGAATTTGAACAAACTTTTTGAAAAGTAGAAATCTTTTGTAACCCTCCGTTCTGATAAGAATTGAAATGGAGCATGCATTATGGTAGCTTTGAAAGCTAATTGCTTTCCTTTTAACATACCTTATTTTGGTTTGTAGGTGGCAGTTTAGCAGATGCCATAAGTGAAAACTCTAGAAATATGCGCTACTTTAGCGAAACAGAGCTGAAAGATCTGCTATTACAAGTTGCTCGTAGCTTAAAGTATATTCATTCAATGTCACTGGTACACATGGATATAAAGCCCAGTAAGTATGCAATGGCTTGATATTTACTGTTTGGAAATAAATGTTGTGCTTATCTTTGGCCTTTTTTTGCAGCCTTATGTTTGTTTGTTGACTGTATCTTTGCTTCTTTCCTGTACAGCTGTTAGTGTTTTTGCTCATTAAATGAAGACACCAGTTGAGAGAGATAAATTTTTAGTAGCCATGAAGCTACATCACATTTTGACCTAGATTTCTAAGTTTGTTTATTCCTTGGCAGGTAATATTTTCATATCTAGGACGTCAATTCCAGCTACTGTACCAATAGAAGGTGATGATGATGAATGATCTAGCAATGCTGTATTTAAAATAGGTAAGGGATCATGGAATTGTGTCTGCCTCTACAACGTTTTTTTTCCTTCTGAGAAAATAATTCTTTCCACTTTATTGTTTCATGTAGGTGATCTTGGTCATGTGACTAGAATATCCAGTCCACAGGTGGAAGAAGGAGATAGTCGTTTCCTTGCTAATGAAGTTTTACAAGAGGTATTTGATGCTTTGTTTATTGAGGCTAAATATTTAACTCATGTGACAGTTCACTTGATGTGTGCACTGCTGGTATTCTGTACATAAAACTAAACTTTTCTTTTGCCTGCAGAATTATAGTCACTTGCCAAAAGCGGATATATTTGCTCTTGCACTAGCAGTAGTGTGTGCTGCTGGTGCTGAACCACTACCAGCCAATGGGGATCAGTGGTATGAAATTCGACAAGGAAAACTGCCTAGAATTCCACAAGTCCTTTCTCAAGAGTTTTTAGATTTATTAAAAGTAAGCTTGTAGTGTATTCAGAAGCTGCCATGAAGACCTAAGATGTATTGTGAAACACCTCATTGGGAAGCTATGTTAAGCTTCGTCTTAGACAGGGATTGAAGCCCAAGACTAATACGACCAATCAGGTTCGAATTGTATGTAAGCGGGAACAACGATGATTGGTCCTTATGCGCTCAACCTGATAGGTTGATATCTGTACAGTAGGTGTGGCTACATTAGCCGGGAAATGTTTAAATACCGAGCAGCTAGAATGGACAAGCTGTTCGGGCTATCAGATGTTGTACCGTGTTGGAGAAGTGTTCCTGATCGGGAATAAACTTGAGTTTTTGCTGAAATCACTCTCCGATTATTTGTTAAGCGCTGGACTTAACAAAGCTGCTGTTTTATTACAATGAAAAATGATTGATTGGGTTGGGAAGTGTAGTCAGCCATTATTTTAATCTCATCACTTCTTTTAGGCCAGTGGTGGCGAACCTATAGACAATCCTACAAGACATCAGGAAATCTACAAGGAATTTTCTAGCATTGTAGCAGCTGCAAAGGTGAATTTTAGTAAGATTTTTACAGTTCCGTAGGATGGAGACAACCCTGTGTTTTCTTACTTTTCCAGATAAAGCCAAATTTGAAGAACTTGATCTTTCCTGATTACACTGGTTAGATTTAGGAAATCTGGAAACGGAGCTATTGGAATTTCAAGAAAGCTCTATCTGGGAAAATAAATTCTATGACCTGCGTGAATCACTTGAGAAGATAGAAGGGATGACAAAGGACAGCACAGTTCTGAAAATGAAATCCTTAAAGTGTGGAATTCTCTGCCAAATAATTTTAAGTCAATGAAAGCACTTGGGATTGCTTTCCTTACTTTGTTAGGATCATCTTATGCACGTGAGCAGCTGTTTTCAGCTTTGAACTATATCAAATCTGACACCAGAAACAGACTAACAGATGACCTGAGTGCTGCATGTGTTGCTCTCAAACTTACAAAGTATGAGACAAGGTTAGACAAATTATCAGCATGCATACAACAGCAAAAATCACATTAATTAATTAAAAATCACATTAAATGCAAACGTTGACCTTTCAATAAAAATTTGTTTGTATCACTGAAAGCTCTGTTATTGTGTTTTTCTTTTAAGGCAGAAGATGTTAACGTATGAGTTGTTTTTTCTAAACTAAACCCTCAGTATTCAGGTTAAACTACCGTGTGGGCACTTTGCGATCAGTAAGTGGGTTTTGGGTTGCAGTTTGGGCACTCGGTCTCTAAAAGGTTCGCCGTCCCTGCCCTAGGCTGATCCTGCTTTGAGCAGGGGGCTGGACTAGATGGCCCGTATGGCCCCTTCCAACTCTGTGATTCTGTGATTCTATGAATTGTGGGCAGAAAAGGATGAGAGCCGCTCGGAACATGGCCTGAGACATGGCCTTATAAAAACTTGCTTTGCTTCCTTGGACACTGCCCAAGTAGGAACCTCCAAATTCACTTTAGAATTCCACAGGAAGTGTAAATCAGTGCCAGGGCCAGGCTAATACAAAGACCACACTGGGGTCTTGTACCTCAGAGCACAAGCAGTTTATTTCAGCATCTTTCCTGCACTCCGGCAAAGTGGCGAGGGGCCCTTTTCTTATCTGGCGCTCCCAACCACCCGATAAAGCCAGTTAAGTATTCATATGCCAGGTCAGCAGTCCGGGTTCTGCCTTCCAGCAGGCTTGAAAATGGCTAAACGTTCGGTCTCCTCTGGCAAGTTAGCTTTTCCCCCTGGAGATCAGGCAGGGAACCATTGCAAAATCTGGTATCTTTGCCTCTCGAGGCCACAGATGTGCACTACAGTTAACTATAAAAGAGATTCTGGGCTAGTCGCTTGTGAGAGCTTCTGACATAGCTCCTCCGTTTCCTTTGGGCTTGGCCTTGAGAAAGAAATAAGCTCTGCCATGTAAGTGGTGTTAGTCAGGAAGCCCCAGAAGCAACCAATTACATACTGCAACACTCAATGAATGCTAATCAATACACATGGCATAATTTTCCTTACTGTGCATAATCAACCTAATTCATAACAATTCACATCAATAGCTGCCACAATTTTGCATGGCACTGATACTGCTGGACTGGCTTGGACCATCGACGGGGCAATATCACCCAATGAAATGACTGATACCATCTTCGGAGACAGCCTTGTTTGTATGGAGCACTTTATCCTGTTTTTGTTGAGATTTAATAGTTTTAATGTTTTATACTGTTTTTAGGTATGGGCTTGTGCCCTCGTGTAAGCCGCCCTGAGCCCGTTCGTGGGGAGGGCAGGGTAAAAATGTTAATAGTAAATAATTAATAAATAATTCTCACAAATTATTGTTGTTGCTAGGGGGCTTTGGTTGTGTTTTAATTCTTATGTGCAATGTCTTCAGTTTGTTCAGGTGGTCAGGTGTGTTGGTCTGACTCAGCAGAACAAAGTTAGCGTCCCGTGGGGCACCTTTAAGACCAACACAGGTTTATTCAAGGTATGAGCTGGACTCTTAAGTTTGTTCTTCTTCAGTTCACGTTTGTCCTGGGGAGGGCAAGCAGTTATGCAAAGAACTCAAGTCCCGCCCAGCTTTGTGTAGAAAGCTTATTCAGGCCCTCTGGCTTCTAAGATTCCCACCTGTGTTCGCCACAGATGCTGCAGCCCCTTGCTTTCCGTTTCTCCATGAAAGCTCAGGTCCTCAGGACGCCGAATTCTGTGCCCACTGCCACATTCCTCATTTTGGTCACATCCAGTGGTCGTAACGGACAAACCCATCGTGATGACCAACTCTGGAGAATGAGGAGATTTGTACAGGGGATCAGAGCCAGGAGGCTCCCCCAAGGCATCTCCCCCTTTCTCAGTGATCAAATCACAAACCTTCCTATTCAAGGAGAAATTCCTCTTCCCCTTTCCCATTTACACTCCCCTGAGATCGCCCAATCCCTGTAGGAAGGAATTCCAGACGCAATACCCAAGTCTGTGAAAAACAGCCTGGGAAACCACGACGAAAGGATGGACACCCGACCGACTGCCGCTGCAAGGAAGTATATCAAGTTCACCTTTCCAGCATCACTAATGAAGCCAAACACCCTGTTGAGGCAAAAGACATCCCTGTTGCAACCAGCAGAAGAAATTCGTCTCCAGCAGGATCCCATCACCCTCAGGGTGGGTTTTATCTCCCAGATGGCAGGATCCCGTCCGCCAGGGTGCCGCATCAAGTTCACATCCTTGCTCCCACCCATGCATGGCCTTCTGTTTGTGGAAGGGTCAGCAAAGCAGCTCAGCTGCCCACGCCGCCCAGCGAGAGGGTCAGGAAGGGTGCTGATGCCTCAGAACCACCACATGGCCTGGGGGACCTGCTGAGCTGCCACCAGTCTGGGGCTGGAATGAAAGACGTGCCGGCCGCTCTGTTGCTTCTGTGCTCCTGGCCCAAACAATGGAAGGTGTGAGCAGGCTGGTTTCCAAACTCAATTCAATGTGCGGCTGGGCACAGTTCTGAGAGTGACCTGTAACAGGCAGCACAATGCTGTTTATTGGGTTTTTATGTGTTTGTAATGGGGGGGTCCATGGATTTTCTCCCTCAGGTACCCAAACCTCTGGTGGGGAGGCTCACAGTTAAATGTACAATCAAGTTCAGCACTGAGCTAATTAGATAAAGCCTGGTCTGCGCGTTTTGGCATTGAACGCTGCGAGGAAATCACATCGTTTTGTAAGCGGAAGCTAAAAACTAGCTTGGAATAGCAGGGTGGGGCAAATCCTGTCCTCTGCTGCCACAGTGTCGGAAAAGGTGGCCAGAAATGGCAACTGTACAACAGAGGAACTGGATGGGATTTCGTCACAGCAGGCTTTAGGGCTTCTGCCTCCCGGGCAGGCAGAGGAAATCCCAAAATTGCTGGAAGCCCTCTAGGGAAGGAAGGACAAACAGTACTGTGGCTGGAGTCTGCTACAGACCTCCAGACCAGGATGAGGAGGTGGATGCTACCCTCCTTGAACAGCTTGACAGGGTAGCCAAACAATGTGACCTGGTAGTTATGGGTGACTTCAACTCCCCTGTTGTGTGCTGGGAGACAGACTCTGCAAAGTGTCCACACTTACACACATTCCTGACCTGTCTGGCTCACAGCTTCCTTCATCAAATGGTGGAGGAAGCTACGAGGGGCTCAGCCATACTCGACTTAATATTGACCAACAGGCAAGAGACGGTAGATGGGGTGAAGGGGGGGGACCTTAGGGGGAAGTGACCATGTCCTCCTAGAATTTCTTTTGCTCCCGTCAGCCGGGTCTAGGCGCATCTCCATCAGAGCAAGACGGGACGTGTCCGAGCAACGAAATGCTTAGACCGGAAGTCCTCTGGGGGCCTGCCTATTTGAGGGACCGCCTTTCCCCATATGTGTCCCAGAGAGCACTGAGGTCAGGAACACAGAATCGCCTGACCTTTCCCGGTCCAAGAGACATCAAGTTGGCTGCTACTAGAGCCAGGGCCTTCTCAGTGGTGGCCCCATGCTGGTGGAATGAGCTCTCGGATAACATCAGGGCCCTGCAGGATCTTTTACAGTTCTGCAGGGCCTGCAAAACGGAGCTCTTCCACCAGGCCTTCGATTGAGAGCTGCCACTGGAGACAGCGCCACAGACGTCAGTCCCACCGGAACACATCTTGGACCACATAAAACAGCAGTTGGTTATTGCCTTTTTTTGTATAGTGTATGCAGCCAGCTTCATTGCCATTATTACTAGTACTATCTAGTGGTTATGTAGTCCTAATTTATTAATGTATTTTAATGTATTTATTGTCTTAGTGTTTTAAATGTTGTTAGCCACCTTGAGCCAGTCCTGTGGCTAGGTGGGATACAAATCGAAATCATAAATAAATAAATAAATAAGAGTCCAGGAGCACCTTAAAGGTTAACAAATTTGTGGCAGGGCAGGAGCTTTCGTGAGTCACCATTCACTTCTTCAGATTCAGACTCACAAAAGCCCCCCCCTGCCACAAATTGTATTAGTGTCGAAGGTGCTCATGGACTCTTGCTCTTCTCTGCTGCTACAGACAGGCGAACACACGGCCACCCATCTCGACCCGTCTTCAGGTATGTGAACCTGGTTCTTCCAGCTCTGGTCTCCAGCCACCATACCACACTGGGTCTCAATGTCAAATATTCGGTTAGAGCCCAATTAAGCATCTAAAAACGGACAGATGTTAGCTGACAACCCTCTATTGTCAAGGGGGGGTCATGGACAGCTGCCCTTGACGCTAGCGTTGGAGCCAGAGGTCAGAGAAGCACCCCAGCATCGGCCCACACCCATTTGCAATATGTGGCCATCAATGTTCCCTCTAAGCTGTGGAGTCTTGTGAGCAAAAATTCCACTTTGTGAGCTACTGGCACTAAAGTTGTGAGCAAGCGATTTGGCTGCTGCATAAATTCATTTGCTCTGGAGCCCTCCTTCCTGAGCTGAGACAAAAATGTGTGAGCTGGAGGCTAAAAAACCGTGAGCTAGCTCACACTAACTCAGCTTAGAGGGAACACTGGTGGCCATACTGGCCTACTTTACAGGGTGGTTGTAAGGAATGTTCAAATAATGTATGCAAACTACTTTGAACACTTAGTTCAAAATAAACATTTTACAATGGAAAGCTTGCTCTCCTGGGAGGAATTACTGCAAGTTTCTCTGGCACCAGGTAAGAATTACTCCTCCGGCAGAAGAGGCTCAGAGGGAAAAAGAGAAGCCACTGAGGAAAATCCAAACTCCACTGTCCTTGCCCCCCCCCCCAGCTCCGAATTGGCAACCGCTATCAGTGCAAAGGGGGGAACTGGCAAGGAAGACCAAAACAGCCATGCCTACAAGGGGGGGGGGCAGCAGGACCCACAGTTGAGAGGGAAGGTTCTGCGGCAACACCAGCCTTACTGGCCCAGCCCAAGACAGGAAGCAATAAAGAGAGAAGCGTCCACAGAAACAAGACTCCCAAAGACTTTTTAAAAACAACACCGTGGGAATGGAACTCCTCCCAAATCACATGCTTGAGAAGTTGGGGGGGGGGGAGAGGAAATCCAGCTACTAAACACAAGCAGGAGTGTGTTGCTGGGGATGCTAACCTGCCACTCAAGGCAAGCAAAGAGGAACTCAGACTGGGCAAAGTCCAAGAAATGTCCCACCACCATTTCAGGGATCAGTTTCAGGCCACAACTTCTCCCCCAACTGAGGATCACTTCCAGACCAGAACATCTCTCCCCCCCCAAAAAAAAGCTCTTGTGCATGCATTGTGTTGCCCTGCAACAGCGTGCTTCATCTCACAATTAATCTGGTTGCATTTACAATGGAGAAGGGTGAATTCTCCAGCATTTCTCTAAAAGGGCTTTACTCAGGGTCAGTTCCAGAACACAGGTGCTGGCCCTGCTTGGATTTCCTCTGGGAGTGAAGAGAAGCAACTAGGAATGGGCACCTGGGGAAAAAAATTGTATTTTTCAGATTTGAATTTTGGGAAGGGCACAGTTTCCGGCATCCAGCAGTATTCAGGTCCCCAGTACCATTTTGGGATTTGGATCCAGGTTTTTCTGCGATTCTGGAATTATTGGGGTTTCATTATTCCTTAGGGGGGACTTTTTTGTGGGGGCTGGAATGGTTGTTTTTCATCCAAATGACACCAAAATTGCCAGGGCCCAGTGCTACCTGCCCACTAAAGACCGCCCAAATTTCAAGCAAACTGGACCAAGGCATTCCATTCTATGGGGATCTGAACAAGGTGCTCCCAGACATCCTCCCGTAGGGGTGCAGACAGGGAGGGGGAAATGGCCCTGGGAAAGGATCTCATCCCAAGGAAGGAAGGAAGGAAGGAAGGAAGGAAGGAAGGAAGGAAGGAAGGAAGGAAGGAAGGAAGGAAGGAAGGGGAAGAGGGGAGAGAAGGAGCCAGCCAGGCCTGCGCTTGGCTCACCTGAGCTGGGAGCCCCCCTTCCTGAGCTGAGGGAGACCAGTGAGAAGCGGCCTTCCCCAGGCCAGGAGAGATGCCTCCCTCCCTGCTCCCTCCCATTGCCCAGGAAACCTTTAAAGGGGAAAACCAGGTCTGGGATCCCTAAAATGCTAGCCCTGGATATTCCCGAGTATTTCCAGAAATAAACAGGACCCAGACACCAGTATTCCCAAATACCACTCTGGATACCCAAATATACTGGGAAAATACTGATAGGCTACAGTATCTGGCTGCGTCTCTATTTGCGCCAGTTTAAATGGTTGTGGGAAGTTTTGATCAGACATTCCACCCTGAACCAGCTTCACTACACGTTCGCCCCATGGTCCATCATTCAGATTGTTGCGGCATTCTTTCTTTCTTTCTTTTTTGTCTTTCACCCATATGCATAAGCGTGCATCTGAAGCTCCATCTCCTTTCTGACAGCTTGTCACGGGCTGGAGTGCAGGCAGGGCGAGAGAGGGATAGTCCGGGCCCAGTCCAAGGTCGAAAGCCGAGAGAGCAGGAAACCAAAACACCAGGTCCAAAGCACAAGCCGTAAGCGTAGTCGTCAAGCCACAGTCCAGGGGGTCGGCAGCCAAAACACCAGACCAGGGCACGAACCAAGAGCATTGCCGTCAGAGCCGGAGTCAAGGAGCCAAGAGTTAAAAGCAGGAAGCAGGAATCGGGAACACGGGCAAGGTGGGTGCAGAGCTTTTTTTTTGTCAGGCTGACTA